CAAGAGAAGTGATTTCAGAAATAAAGGAATAAGATGTAGATGTAAATCAACTTTCGAGGATGAAACTTTTATAAGGAGGGGAGAATGTGATACTCTCGCCCAAATAAGTATTGTGCTAGATTAATACCAAAGCCCATCAGTTTATTAAGAGATTAATTGTAAAAAAAAAAAGGGTTGAGGTATTAAATGAAAGAAAAGCTAGCTATCGAGAAACAAAAATGTGAGTATATGCCCTCTTTTTATTTAAGAAAAAATATCATGTTGATTGCTATTATTTGGGATTGAAGTTCTAAAAGAAAAATCAAGAAAAATTATGAAATCTTTCATTAATCTTCATGATCTATTTGAGTAAATTGCTGGGCTTTGTTTATTTCATGTCCTTAAGATTTATTGATGATTATTGAATGGAGTTTAAAGGCTGAAAGGGAGGATTTGAATTTTTAAAGATTGAAGGAGAATTCTATTTTTATATGAGATGTTATGATCTGCAATAGTGAATTAAAATAGGATTCTATACTAATGGATAAATTATTGCTATGATTATTATATATCATTGGAAAACATGTTGAATCTACTTTCTAATAAAATAAATAGGAGTCGAATTCGAGTTTTCTATGAAGAGTTATCCAATTTTTACTTAAGAATGTGCAGGCTGCCTAGTAGCAGCAGCAGGGAGGAATTTTGAAATTCGTCTTAATTTTTATGCAAGGATTTACAGATTAAGCCATATATGTTTGGAAAGCTTATTGAGTCTACTTTCCAATGAAACAAGCATAATTGAATTTGGAGTTTCTTATGAATAAATACGTAATTTTTATGAGAAGGTATATAGAGTGTCTGGCAGCAGCATATAACATGGATTGCAAAAATTGTTATAATTAATCCACAAGGAATAATGAGATGGGCCATATATGGTTAGAAAGCTTGTCGAGTCTAGCTTCTAACGCATTAAAAAGATTTTAATTCCGAATTGGATATCTTGAGATATGGTCATTTTAGTGAAAATAGTGCAGATTGTCAGAATTAGTTACTCAAGTTATTTCTTGCTTAACTTAATTGTTTGGTATAAGTGGTCTCAAATAGGTTGATTAATTACTATTATGTTGAAATTATCTTGAATAGGTCATTAATTATTTGGGGAGAAAAAATAGGTGGTGGAATTGAAAGGAGGTAAGTAAAATCTCATACACTTTACTTGTTTTCAAATCTATGTATATATGTATGTTTCTAAATAAATGAATATTTTATTTCATTATTTTTTGATGTATAAAAATAGGATCAAACATTTGATTATTTTGTGTTTATGCTATATAAATGATGGATCATGCATTTTAATGAAATGAGAAAATGATTTATGTTTAAAAAATGATTTTATGATAGCTACGTTTTTACATCCCTGAGAAGTGGGATCAATGACACTAGAACTAGTTTTATGACCCTGGCTAATACGTAATAGTAGTTAGTAAAGATATGATCATATAACCCTAGCTAACAGATAATATTAGTTAATATAAGGCCCTGACTAGCATGTTATAATAATTAGCAATAACCATGAGAATGAAATTATTGATACGGCCAATGTCACGGGTTATAACAGTGATCGTAGCTAACGATAAATGAATGATAATTGTATACACCCATTTTTATTTATTTTATTTATTTGTTGATTTAGTTTTTTTCTTCTTTCTGTTTTTCAAGCTGTTTTACGGATAAGCTAATAAGAAACTAAATAAATAAATAAATAGATAAAAGCAAAGTTTGAATCCTGGTAAAATGATAGGATTAAAGCTTTAAATTTTAAAATAGGATCAAGGATTTGACTTTTGAATGGGGATAAACAAATCAGATGAGAGGGAATTTGATTTTCAAAACCCTCGTCTAACATGGTACCTAGCCTTATATAAGCCCTAGTAATCACAAAATAAGGGCAAAAAAGAAAATAGAGAAAGATCAGTGAAAAAAATAAGAGGCAATCAGAATTAAAAACTTTGGAGTGAGTTATAGGTCGCAGTAGAAAATTGTTGGGAAGTCAGTGTTTCGATTGGGAAATTTTTTTTTTGGATTTTTCTGCATTTTTTTGAAAATTCCATAATTAGATTGAATTTTTCAATAAAAATTCAAGTTTTTCGGTGACCTTCCGGTTGAAAAATCTAGTTTTTGACGATATTACCCAGAAATCGACTATTTTCTTGGTGAATTCAATGAGAAACGACGACCAAAAATCTCTTAGAGAGAGAAAGAGCAGGGGTAGAGAGAGAGAGGGGAAGCGTTTGAGGAAAAGAACTGATTTTACCTTTTATATTAGCTGAAAACGATGCTGTTTTGAATTAAAAGAAAGCAGGATCCGTTTGTTTCCTTTGGTCTGACCGGACCTGTGCCGTTGATACAAGAGCCCTACCCTATCATCCAAGCCATCGAGTCAAGTCGTACTTCAAGCCGTTTAAGCTGCTTCTATCTCTAGAGACGCATTTCTATCGAGTCACTCAGTCGAGTCGCGCTAGAGGTTTTATTCCTTTAATTTTATTATTTATTTGTTTATTTATTATTAATAGACTAAAATTACAACCATAATACAAAATCATTTCTTCAAAAAACACCCAATTTGGCCAACAAATCTGCAAAGTGATTGGCCTCTCTGTAGTTATGGACAAAAAAAACTTTTCTCACTCTAGAATAGAGATTACACGACTTGTTCCTAAGAATATTGTAATTCCAGAGATTGATGCTTACTTTGTTAATCCATGCTGTTACTACTTGAGAGTCGCTTTCGATGATCAATTCTGGAATAGAGTCAAGGTTCGAACTTACCACTATTGAAAGAGCTTCTATTACCGCCATCAGCTCTGCAAGATTAGAGTCTTTAACGCCAATGCTTTTTGAGAACATAAGCAGAACTTCGCCTTTGCTATTACGAATTACTCCACCAATACTTGCAGGACTTGGTTTACCTGCAGCAGATCCACAACATTAATTTTCCAGACACCAGATGTTGGCGGAGACCAATGAATGTTCTTCCTTGGATATCTTCGGTGCAGCGGAATGGTTAAGTCTTGAATGTTGCACATGAAATTCAAGTCTGAAAATTCAGATTAGGATATTTTGCCTTCATCCACCAACCAAGTCTAGCCCATATTAAACTGATAACTTGATCAATTGAAACTGTTTTTTGCTTAAAGATTTTCTCATTTCGAGCCAGCCAAATCGACCATGGAATTGCATAGAACAGTGTATCCCAAATAACTTTCTGGTTACTACTTGCAACAAGACTATTCCAAGACAGAAAAAGGGATTTGATCGGACCTGGAATAGACCTGCTAATATTCCATTGAAGACAGCATTTGTACCAGATTTGACGTGCAAAAGAGCAAAGCAGAAAGAGATGATCAATACTTTCCAGTTCCTCGCAGAAAGAGCATTTGTTCATCAAGTTAACCATGCATCTTGTTTTATGAAGTAGATCAATGACAAGGATACCGCCTTTTAGAGTCTTCCAGCAAAAAATTTCTACGTTGGGTGGGGCGACACCCTTCCAAATGTATTTTCATAGGTTGAATTAGAAACTGTTGTGGAGTTCAGAACTTCTCTGAAAGATTTGGTGCTGAAAACACCATTTGCTGTGTGCTGCCATATGATCCTATCGTGATCTGTGGGGCAGAGAGTCACAGAGTTTAACAGGTTCATTAGCTTGATCCGTGATTCCAGTTCCCAATTGAACAGGTTTCTACGTAGCTGAATTCTCCAACTCCAAGTTTGAACCGATCCAATGTCTAAATTCTTTAATTGGGCCCTCTTTGTTGACAGCAAGAGAATAAATCCTTTGAAATTCAATTTTCAAAATATATCCACACTTGTCATGCCAGAAATGGATTTTATCTCCATTCCTTGTAAAAAAGAGAAAATTAGAGTTTATAAAGTTAAATTTTAAATTTTAAAATCTACATTTCACTTTTATTATTCTCAAATTGTGACCTTCTTTATATTAAAAAATGTAACAATGTCAAAATAATTACCTAACTCTTAATTTGGATTTACATTGACATATTAAAATTAAGAATTAGTTAATTATTTTGACATTATTTTATTATTTAATATAAAGAAAGTTGTAATTTAAAAATAATAAAAGTGAAATATAGATTTTAAATTTTAAAATTTTTAAAAAATTATATGAGTCAATTAAATTAAATATAAAATTAAACATTATTATATTTTTGTAAACGAACAACACGTTTGAATATGAAAGTACACTTTATAATTAAACTATTAGTAAGTTTAATTTTTTAATCACTTTAATTAGCAAATTATATTTAATTTGAGTATTATAATACTTAGACATAGTTTGATTGCAAATTTAACTGAAATTATTTCTTCTATATCCTATACACAATAAAAAAAAAAATTTATTGGCACTTATAAGTGCCAGTAAAAGATTAAAAAATGCTGCTATTACTTTTGTCGACAGTATTTTGACCGCTGGCAAAGTAAGTATTGGTGAAAATTTTTTGACGGTCAAGTCATTGGTGTTAGAGTTACACATGTATTTGTCAGCATGAATTTTTTCAACACTTTAAACTATCATTATAAGTAAAAAAAAAAAAATTGAAAACATTTTAAAGTTTCAATAAAAATCACATTTTATTCAAATTTTTTATATTTATTAAGTAAACTATATTGACACTTAAAACTGACCTAAAAATATTATTTTATTTTTTAAAAATAATTTTCACATTTATAATTGTTGTACCAATAAAATAAAAAAACAATTCATTTTTGTTTATTTTCAATATCTCTTAAACTACAACTTATAAATGTTCCAGAAAACTTTTGATACCATGGTAATTTGATAATTTCATTATAAATGGACTTAAATTGTCATCCTCAAGTTTCTGTTCATTGAAGGATACATGATCTAAGACCGATTATTTGAATCGGCAAAACATTTATATGGCGATCATGGCTTGAGGTCATAAGCATGCAGAAGAGACAGGAAAAAGTCACATGGATTAACCAAACGATACAAACTGAAACGTCTAACCAAACATTTTCTTGTAACTACTCAGACCTTAGTGAAAGCATAGTTAATTACTTTCTCGATCTATCTAAAATCCCAGCTAGCTAGCCTATCAGCTGTTCTCGGAGAGAATCTATGGCCTGGTCAAAGACTATTTCATACATTTTTTCTGTTGGATGAACAGTATCCCAGAATTCATATTTTGATGCATCAGCGCATGTGCTCATGCCTTTGCATGTATCTCCATATTCTACTGTCCCCGTTCCACGACATCCTTTGGAAGTTTCAGCCAAACCTGTCAATTTATTTGGGGGTTTCAGGAATATATATATCATTCTTTTGCATTTTAAAACCAAATAAAGAAGAAGAAATAAGAAGGATTGATCAAAGCCAATTACCTTATTTTTCGGGGTTGTTCACAGCATCCTAACAACATATTTCCGTTAGAGTCTTGAAAAAGGGCATGCAGCCCAAGGGAGGGATCCCAACAACGACTAATCGTGTAATTCCAAGCCTATGCATCTTCTGCAATAATCAAACAACGTGGAAAATTAAACGTAAAACCAACAGAAGGTAGCTAGGAAAATAATTATTGAGATTTGTAAAAACTTGTCAATTAATATTTCATGCTCCTGATGTAAATATTGAAATTTGAATCGCACACATCTTAAATGTTATCTTTTAAAGATAATTACATGAATTAACTAAATTAAATTTCAGATTAATGAAATTTTCTTTTTTCTAGGCTCATTCCCTGTCTTGGGTTATCAATTACAAAACCATTAATTATCCTAAAAGCAATAATTTAGGGCTATAAGCAAAAAATTGTTAGAATAAACGCATGGCTCAAATGTGATTGATCATTTAAACCTATATATGTAAAGAACATCTTGTAGAAGACTACACTATTAAAGTGAAGCATAACATCAAACTTTTAGTCATAATAGACAGCAAATTCTGCGCTGACCGCTTTTCTTCTTTGCATAAAATTTCATATAACACCAGCCTGGCACTTATACATGTTGCCTCAAGCGTTGACATTCAACTTACCACTTCAAGTAGAGAAGCCCCCTCTCTAAGTCCCACTTTCTGTCCTGGATCTTTAGCAAAAGGTGGTGCTGCTGCTGGATCAAGATTTTTCCCCTCTTTAGTAACAAGACCCTTAACAAGTAATAAACAACAGAAAATTAAGTATTTATCCACCATGTGGAGGATGAAATTAAAATTACCAGATGGTCAATTGACACATAATTAAAGTCCGAGTATTTAGATTCCCAGAGTTAAACCATAATCATTTTCTAATAAGAAATAAGAAATTAAAAAAGAAAAAGATCATTTTTCTAGTAAACCTTTTTCCACTTGTTCTGTTCATGCAAGCCTCATCTTTATTACACAAGAGAACGGGCATGTTACGTATCTAAAAGAAGGAAAGGCTTTGCACAAATAGGATGAAGAGTAGTAGAGTAGTGGAAGTATAAAACCATACATTTTATCAAGTAGGAAAAAGTTGTGTGCAGCTATTTTGGGTTTTCCTGTCATCCTCGCAACAGCTTGCACAGCCATGCTAAGAACACCAAGCCCTGCACTGGAAGACAGAAAGGTGGACATGAGAAATACAGCCAAGAGAGAATCGGCGCAGAGAAACAGCTGAAAAAGTTTGGTGAAAGGCTGAAAGCCAAAGCCTTATCTATAAGTTAGTCAAGTACCTTCCAGCTCCCACCACAACTATCTTTTGGTTTGGAAAGTCAGCCAATGATCAACCTTGTGCTCTTACAGTTTCTAACAATCCAGCAAGTGTAACTCCAGAAGTTCTCTAAGAGACATTAAGCACAACTTTATAATAATGGTGGCATTCATAGTAATTTCAGAGCAATCTGCATTACACTAGACACTAATCTAGTCCATAAAAGTAGAAAGTTCTTGCACCAAGAGTTTACCCTTTTATCATCATTAAACATGCAAAACCTTTTCCGATTGTGTTCCAGAGTTTCAAAGGTCCCTTTCATTTGAAAATCCTCAAACTGAATGGTGTAACCATCAAATAAACAACATGATATAAACCAAGCATAACACAAAATTCTCACTTGTGAAAGAAATAAACCTGTACAATAGCCTTAGGCCAACCTGTGAAAACTGCTTCCATGAACTCATCAACAATTGATAGATATTCTTCCACTTCTAACCTAGGTTGTCTTAATCCTAAATCTGTCAAGCTAAAAGAACTTGTCAAAGAAATCCTAACAACCTATCACAGTCACAGCAATCATATCATATGGTCGACTCTGCAAAGGTAACAACTTCTTAAGAACAAAGTAATTGAGTACACATTTTAGTCACAAAGCCGGTTTTCAAGTAGCCTTTGATTGTTAGTACCAACATCTAGCATAACTGGGAGTATCTGTCGGAGACAGATACTGATTGAATAATTAAAGTTATAACGCATGACAAGAGTCACCATAGCAAGAAAAAATTGAAATTTATGGAAACAAACTTTCAAAGCAAGATATAAATAAACTCGACAGCTCTAAGACAGCAGTGAACAACTTTGCGATTTTTCTGGGAAATTATTTGCTAAAGAGTTTCAATGACAATAGAATAAGAATTTATATCCTTTCTCTTTGATTCACATAAAGCTCTAAAGGAGGCAGGTTCTGCAAATGAATGGAAGACAACCACATTGCAAAGTTGAACTACAATCAGTGCAACCACATTCCAAAGATTTTTTTGAGGCAAGATTCATTTTGCTTTCTTTGTCCTTGTGCAAGATACTAGCATTTACATAGTTTTTCCCCATAATCATTCCCATACAACAACTTACCTATATGCCCTCACTGAAACTCTATAACAATAAGTTATTAAAACTATACACTCTTTTACTTATTTTACACAAAACACGGAATGAGTACACAAAAAGCAACTAGCTCATGCTTATGCTCATGCAAGATAGCCTATTTGGATCAAGATTCTTTATGAGCAATTCTCACTCAAATTGGAAATTAAATTGATAGTTACACTAAACAGCACAAACTACAACTATTTATCAACAATATTCAAGTCAAATTGTTTTGTATGCATTTTCCTACCTGTGCTTAGCATAGTGAGAAGCAACTATGGCTCAGTCTTCACAGGGTCTTCAACAGAGCTTCTATACTTGGCTATCAGATCCCTAAAATTGGAAGAAAAAAAATGCACACATTCATCAAGTAGAAACATTCAATTGCAAAAAACACAAATCAGGACCAACTACTTGCCTCCTTTGATTTAGCAATTGCTCACTGTCCTCCAGCTTTCGCTGTTCTCCTTCAATAGTCTACATCCAACATCCACAAATTCCCCAAGTTATAGAAAGAAATACTAATACTAACACAGTACCACATTTTAAGAATCTATCATCACAAACCCTAAAACAAAAATGCCATTAAAATTATATATTTTTGTTGTGATATTTGTAATATATACTTATAATTTTGTGCTAATTACTTATAAGAAATCAAGTTGAACTAAAACTCAATCTAACCTAAAGTAAATTTTTTAAATTTAAGTTGAACTCAAATTTTATATCACAAACTTTTTAACTCAATTATACCTCGAGCTGAACTAGTAATTAATGTATTTGATATGTAATCAATCGTATTTATGCCAATCGAAAGTTTGATAAAAGTGATATAAGATTAATTTATCAATTATCTATCCGATAATTTTTATATTCATATAGTCTAAAACACTTAGTGTATTACTATTATGTTTCATGCAAAAATTGAATATTACATTTCATATCAACATGAAAAATACGAAAAATAATTTTTTAGTTTTTGTTAAACCCATATATAAATTTTATTAAAATTTTAACTCATGTTACTTGCTTGTCTTTTTTTTATTATTTTCATATCATATTACTATATTATATTTTAAATTATCAAATCTATCCAACTTTTTAAAAGATTTGGATTGTAATACCTTCAATTGTTATAAGGTATATTTTTCACAATAAATTATCAATAATCGTAATTTCATATTAGATTATTTAATTTAGTAATAAATATATATATATAATATTACGGAATAAATGGACAGATCGTTTGACTTACTATTTGTAAATATGTTCAAATTATATTTATTTTTTTATTTTAATAAACAATTATAAACAACATTTTAAGATTTTTTAATTAAACGAACATATTACAAACATAACAAAATTTATTCATATTCTATTCATTTGTAAAAATTAATATAATGTTTTACAAATAATTCGTGAATATTCTTGATTTTTGTTTATTTATTAAATTTAACAAATGATTATAAAGAATATTTCATGGTTCATTAATTACATTACCAGAACTATATTTAATACCAATAGAATTTTTTGATAAATTTTTTTCATAAATAATTACAAATAGAATACCAACGAATTATCAATGAAGTTGAAAAGTGAAATTATCAATTTATTACCATTGAAATACTGATAATTTCCATCAATAAATACAAATGAAAATTTTTTGCATAAAAAAAATACAAATGAAATAATTTCCATCAATAAATTTTTTACATGTCTATCAAATTTTGACGCTGTACTTACCAATGAAAAATTATATAAATAACAATGTAGACACATTTTACCGATGGAATATCAAGAAAAAATTTGTTGATTAATAATTTAGGTGTGAAAATTTTTTTTAATTAATAAATAAAATTTTATATTTTGAAATTTTTAAATCCATTTTCATCGGTATTTCTTTGGTGATTTTCATTTAGGAATAAAATCCCTAACTCTTCTCTTAAACATTTATCTCCCTCACTCATAGTTCTCTTTTCCCACCCCCTCCACTAGACCGTCATCCCTCTTTTCTATCCTCAATTCCTCCTCCGACGGCCTTTCTCCTCCACCGTTCACTGCTATAACATCATTTGTGATTGAGAACATCTCAAAAACGGGTAATCGAGGAAGCTTCAGGTGAAACTATATATATTTTTAAATTGATGCTCCTTTTAATCATTTTTAGAGCCACACAAGCATTAAAGCAGAAGAAATGAGATGCATAGGTGATGGGAGATGGGCATAATGGGTTGACGGCCGCGGCTTACTTGGCTCGTGGCAGCATGTCCGTAGCCGTGCTCGAGCAATACCTGTCCATAGAAGCTTCAGGTGAAATTTTTTATTTTTTTTATTTTTTTTAAATTTTTTGTTAATAATATGAGTTTTTATATGGCATTTAATTTGAAAAAAAGGAAAAATTAAAGAGACATGTTTGAATTTGTCGAAGCTAATAAGGACGACGTTTACTAATTGGCTGAACAACTTAAAGAAAAGTAAAATTTCGAGGAAAATGAAATCTCTAATTTCTTTGATACTATGTGTGATGAATCATGCTCTCTTTTGAATGTCCACCATGTCTCAAATTTGTATTTTATTTTTATAGTCTCCTTCCAATTTTCAACAAATCAGACAGAACTTTGATGTTTTTTCCTAGGTTTTGATGTAACGGTAAAGTTGAAATTCATTTTAGCTTTTTAAATTTTCCATCAAGTATATTTTCTATGCAATTTTAAACTTTGATTTGTGATGAACTAGAGCTAGTTAGAAAGTCGATTCAATTTGTTGAATCACCAAATCATCTTATTTGAGATATAGTATGGTAAAAAGGAAGTGAAAATGCTTGCTTATTATAAGCCAATAAATAACATATTTAAATTTACTATGTTCTTATTGAGGTTTGTTTGTAATGAATGAGTTGAGAATCTTTTGTTCTATTTCTAATTAAGGTCATGGCTATTTGAATTAATATACTTAACATCACTTAGTGTTAGCAATAAGCCATTTTACAATTTTATGAACCATTGTCAAATGTGAGTTGGTGTTTTTCATTGTCTATGCTTTTTATTGAATTTAACTTTTATTTCTAGTACTTAACTAATTCATCTGTAGGTTCTTTGTCTTCACTTTTCCTGCAATTCATCTATTAACTAATGCCTTCTAAGGGACCAAGGCCAACCTTTAGCATATAACAAGAGCTAGGTGTCAAAAGGTAATAGTTTCTGAGGTTTTTATAGCTCTCTTTTGTGGTCTCTTATATTGTTATTATTGTTGTTAGTGTCATCATGCATGAGCATACATGCACATGCTTAACCGTAAAGAAGTTTAAAGATGAAATCTTTGTGGAAACTTAACCTTTTTAAGAGTGAATTTATATTGAGTATTGGCTTAACTGTCATGAACTTTTTGTTGTACCTTAGTTTCTAAATTGCTTTTGGCTGGAAGCAATTAGTTGTTATTTTCTAATACAAGTGAGGTTTTCTTTTGACTTGTGCTTTTTAAGTTTCATTAGCAATTATAGTTTGAATCCATCTCCTAATTGTAAATAAAATCCAGTTTTATAAATGTTCTTCAAGAATATCTACCTACACATAAATGAGTAAATCTTTCAAGAATGTGAAAAGAAGAATTCCATACTCTAAACACTTGGTGATGTGTGTCAATTTGCTTGGCATTAGTGCTAACATGGTGCTTGTCCAAGATGAATTTTGTTTTGTTCTGCATATTCTGCTTGGCATCATTTTGTTTTGTTTCCAAGCCTATCATTTATCTTGGCCTTTTGTTTGCTTAATATGGTTTTGCGTTATATCTTGTATGCATCCAAAAATTATGATTTTTAGTTCATTTCACATGATTTTACTTTAATATTATTTTTAATAAAGCTTCCAAATTTGTTATGGAAATAGATTGCTCTAGTAATTGAGCCCAAGAATACGGAAGCAAGTCCTATGTACAGACAAGTTTAGGAGGTGTGGCCAACGGCCAATGTCAAGTTCAATTGCTTTGGTGGAATTTTGTATTGATAAATTTTTTATTAGCTTGATTTAGAGTTTGTATGTTCTCTTGGTGATGCTGCTAAAAAATGTTAATTGTTTTGTTTTGTGATAAGGAAGTTAATGATTGAATATGATGGACGAGCCAAAGTTAGAAGGTAGTCCTTGAAGTGAGCAGAGTGTGGTTGCCACTCCAACGAGACCAGAATCCAACAAGTCCTTCTAGTCAATCTTGTTCTACACTTATTTTAGTCAGTTGTTGATATATTTGCTTTAGTAACTATATTTAAGAACTTGAACCGGTGAATATTGGTTCTCGTAGACTGCAAGTAAATGGTACTTCAGGATTGTAAAATATTATTATTCATTTAATTACTTAAAAAATAAATTAAAAAACTAGAATAAAATGAGAGAATTTATATAAAAACCAAGTATTATCAGACGGAAATATTAACTATTACCAATGAAATTTTAACTATTAAAGACGGAGTTTTTTTTTTTTACAAAATTGAAAAGAAAAATTATTAAAATAATATACAAAAGGAAAATTTGGTCGGTAAAACAAAAAATTTCATGGTAAATTACAGATGAACTTATATTATTGATTTTGATTATATTGAAGAAATTTTTGTCGGTAAATTTATTGATAATATTATTACAAACAAAAAATAAAATATTATCAGCAAAATTTTTTATCGATAATATTTCATTTTTTGATAGTATTAAACGAACAAATCACAAATATAACAAAAATTATTTATGTTTATTTGTTTACATCTCTAATAATATATTTAAAAAAATAAGTTAAAATTCTTCAAAAATAAAAAATTTTTGAATGTGTTTATGCACTTGGAACTATACACTAGCTTGATAATCAACAATATGATTAACTTTACTCAAAAAATAAAAGGAGTATCAAGATCACCATTACCATTCTCATCAATTCTCTCAAATAACTTATCAGATTCTGTTTAGAGAGCTTTGTAAATGTTAAGACTACATGAAAAGTAACAGGAAGCGCCAGCAAAGTGGCAAGTTTTTCTTAAATGTTAGGATTAAACTTATAATTTCACAATTTATCTCATTTTCTTATAAAAAAAAAGGAGAGATTATTTTTTAATTAAAAGTTTCTGATAGCATTCTTTTCTAATATTTTTTAGTCTAATTTAAACAAGTTACACAATTAACAAGAATTATCACTGGATCTTGATACAAACTTGAAAAAGTAACAGATAAGAATAACAAAATAGGACTGAGTTTTAATAATCTATTAAGTATCAAATTTAAAATTAATTGATAATATATGAAGAGAGTTCAACTTGAATTTAAAACCACAAAAAATTCAATATTTAACGAAAATGGGATAACATTACTTCAACAATGGAGTGCTTGGGAAGGTTACAGGAGACTTAAGAGAGAAAACTTGACCAACTAGACTCTTTTCTTTTCCCCACTTTTCTGATCCAGCTTGACTCATTCAGGTTTTTTTCCTTTTCTTTTGATCCATTTGAGGGAATACAATATGGATTGCAACCTTCTTCTTTGAATACAATATGGAGGGTAAACTCAAAGTTTGATCAATCAAATTAAGAAAAAAATCAAATTTGATTTAAAAATTAAATCATTAATGATGAATGAAAATGTAAGATTACATATAGTTGATTGGACGGCGAAAAAGGATCTTTATTAGCCATCTTATTCTGATCCTTCTCTTTTTCCATAAATTATTGATTCCTCAGTTTCTCAAACAAATTAAAAGAGAGCAAATTTTGATTCCAACAATACCACTAAGCACACAACGCAAAAAATTATCTTTAATATAATTAAGTAGAAAAAGGCGACATGAGAGGTTAGCTCTAGCTGATGATTAAGAAGAAAAATTCATACAAACATTTCAAATTCTGTTCTCTTTTAAAATAAAAATAAATTTTCAAAACATATATTTTAGTTTTCTAAATAAATTTAAAAATTTTTCCAAATTTTTATAAATTCAAAATTTTTTTACTAAAAATCAAATTGTCCTATTTATTTTTTCCAAATTTATATTATCCTACGTGAAATTTTTTAAAAATAAAATATAAATATTTTCCATTTCAACAATATGACAAAAATAAATTTTGGATGGAATATTCTATTTTAATCCATGGATGATTAAAATTACATAAAAATATTATAAAGTGATAAAATTATACCAAAAAAAGTAAAATATATATGGGATTCTAAGTTTTGACTTCTAATGTCAAGATTAATTCTTCTTTTGCAAGAAATGACTAAGACTGCTAAGCTGAACATATACACATACCATTTCAATCCAACATTTTCCATCAACTTGGTTGTTTTCATTTATTTGTATTCCAGTAAGTATTTAACTCAGTAAGATCCCTTCTTTAACTAAAGAACATCAACTAGGGAAACTTAAAAAAAATCAATCTAATTGAATGAAATTAAGATGCATGGAATTCTTACAGCAATTCTTATGCCACAAATAATATGTGATTTCTCTAATGTCTTGAGGGAGGAGGAAATGCTATTCAACTGATATTCAGAATTGATGAATTTTCAAGTGACTTCCTTACAGAAACACAATGATAATTAAAATGTGCGCATTGATGTTTTAAAAGATCCTTGTTTTCAGTCTGCCAGCGGAAAGGACAACAAACCATGAACTTTTAGCTGATAAAAACAAGACATAAATAAACAGGAATGCAGTCTCATGTACCCTCATAGAAATTTGCATTCTAATATGATCGCAATACTTGTCTTCAAGTCTATGAAGTTGGGTGAATGGTTTGTGAAATGCTGCAGCAAATTGGCAGCTGCTTCATTCACTTGCATCTTCTGAAACTCACATTCATTTCCTCATCTCTTGAACTCAATTGTCTACGCCACCATATATCACTACCAATTGCCCATGTTTTTTGTTGAGCAGTAGTAGACTCTTCCACTATATTTTCATCAATTGATCGGATTGCCTGCATAGCAAATTAAAGCATGGCATGTGAAGAACAAGAAGCATGTATAATTCAGTAAATTGAAATAATAACGCAACAAGGACCATTGAATGAACCCAACAAGAAAGATTGCCACCCAATAGAATTGGGAATTAATATTGCCAGCCAATTACATTTTCAATTTCATTAGGAATTAAAACAAACACATGGATGACATATTTCAATTGAAATCCATAACAAGTTCCCTTGAACAGACGAGATTAATATTGCATAATCAGTAAAGCTGAAAGAGGAAATGAAAGCATGAAAAATGTAAAACAGATGAACCTCTCTGTTCATAAGTTTATCCAGTCCAGCTATACAAAAGGCAGGGCAGCTTTTGATACTTTTATATTGAGAGTTAGGGAGCGTAGCGTACCTCTGTTTTGGCATGCCCAGATTCCTCTGAATCAACACTAAAGTTTGTGGATATATTGGGACAACCTTGTACAATTAAATCATTCAAAGATGGGAATACGAAATGATAACCCACAGGGCTGAACCTCACAAGGTTTGGTAAAGTTTCAAGATGTAAGGTGCCCAATAGAGGTAGCTGTATCACTTTCTCTTTTTCCTCGCTACCATTTGCCTCATCTCCTGATTGTTCAAATACTTGTTCTAATTTGGAGACGTTCCAAACAGTTAAATCTTGCAGTTTTGAAAGGCCATGAGCAACACTCATCGGAAAGAGACTTCTCAAGTTTTCGCATTTATAAATATCTATTTCAGTCAGGTTAGGGAGGCATATAGGTTGGAGATGATGACCTTGCGATGTAGTTTGACCATCCTTTTCAATAATTTGCTCCAATTCCTCACACTCACATATCTTTAAACAGCTCAATTGTGGCAAATTCCGAGCGATGGTAGGTGATAAGATATATCTTAACCTTCTGCAACTATCAACACGCAATAGAGTGAGGTTTTGAAAGTTGACAACTTCGACGGGATCTTTCCATGCCACCGGCAATTCAGGTAGATCATACAATCTTAGTAGCCTCAAACTCTGAAAAATTATGTTCTGTAGCCCCTGTTATGCCAGCAATAGGGAATTCTTAGAAAACCGGAATCCAATAGGGAATACTTAGAAAATCTCGCAGATCTTTTTTTGGATATTTCATTTGAGTGACTTGAAAAATAATGCATTAAGATAAGTGGGTTAATCAGACAGAAAATCATCATTAAGATATGCAATTTCATTAGTACAAATGCAATTTAATAATTATTTATTAAATTATTTTTTATTGATTTAAATAATAAAAGATTGATTTAGTGGTAAAATTTTTTTTCAGAAATTTGATGTTTTAAATTTAAATCTTATTATTTATTAAATTAATTTAATTTTATGTTAAATTTATCTTATATATAATTTATTTACTTTTTAAGTGAAACATTTAAATATAATTATAATTTTTTTATTAATATTTTCATAAAAAATTATATACTTGCGAAAATCAAAACTAATTTTATATTAAAAAAAGTAGATAAATAATGCTAAATAGTACGAACATTTTGTTTTTATGCGAAGAAATAACCAATTTGTGATATTAATTATTTGAGGCTTTCTTTTATGAGAAGAAATGACTATTTAGCATTTTATGCAATAATTAATTGAACTTAAAATGAAATCTCCTAGCTACATATTTCCTATAAACTCAATCTCCTAAAACATTAAAATAACTAAATGAGATAGATAGATAGATAACTCAAGAAACTAATTATAGTAAATTCCTAAAAATTGAAAACAAAAAGTAATAGCATATTTAGAATGGACAATTCCTACTTCAAATATAAAGAAAAAGACAACTAGCAAAGAAAATGTCAATGATAATTAAAGTAAATTACACCATACATCTATGACTTTTGTACAATATTTCATTTTCATTCATGGTTTTAATTAAAACTCAAAATTTTCATTCACGAGTTTTTTTAAAATATTTTAAATTCATTAATTTCAACAATCAATCATTAGAATTTAAATAAAGAGAGGGAAAAAGGATGAGGAAAGCAAAAATAAATGATAGAAAAGAAAATTAATTTTCTTTTTTATTGTTTGGTACCAAAGATAAAACAAAAAAAGAAAAAAGAAAAAGGATTAGAAGAAAAATTATTTAAAAAAAGGTTTTATTAAGTATAAAAGAATGTTTTTCTCCCAATTTAAAAGGATTAAATTTTGATCAATTTTTTTTTTCTTTCCACTATTTAAAAGTGTTGTCAATTTCTCCAAACTTTGACCGTGCGACAATGAGGAAAGAGATGTCAAGTTACTGCAGCCACTTACAAAACCTTCCCTTGGACTTGGGAGATTGATGTTTGACACTTCCGTTTTGGGAATTATTTCTTCCAATTCCAAGCATTCGGATATGCGCAGTTCTTCCAGTTGTCCAAGACTTTGAGCAACAGAAGTGGGGAACAGATATCTCAATTTATTGCAGTTGTGTATTGCTACAACCTTCAAACTTTGTAAGCTTACATGATGACTGGGTCCTTGTATGCTCCTCAATTCAGCAATCTGAAATAGCACTTGCATCTCATCATAAATTCAATAATGCTAAATGGTGATATTAAGGGTTTTTTAGTTCATAGTATTAATTATTTAAGGCTTTTTTATGAGAAGAAATGAGCATTTAGCATTGTATGTAATAATTAATTGAACTTAAAATGAAATCACCTAGCTAGATATTTCCTAAAAACTCAATCTCCTATAACATTAAAATAACTAAATGAAATCAATTTAGAAACTAATTATAGTAATCTCCTAAAAATTGAAAACAAGTAGTAATAACATATTTGGAATGGACAATACCTTCTTCAAATATAAAGAGAAAGACAACTAGCAAAGAAAATGTCAATGAAAATTAGAGTAAATTACATCACGTATTTATGATTTTTGTAAAATATTTCATTTCATTCACGGGGTTATTTAAAACTCAAAATTTTTATTCACGAGTTTTTAAATTCAAATTCATCAATTTGAACAATCAATCATTAAATTTTGACTAAATTTATCATCTCAAAACATTTTTCAATGATTTTCATTAGTACAAATGCAATTTAATAATTATTTATTAAATTATTTTTTATTGATTTAAATAATAAAAGATTGATTTAGTGGTAAAAATTTTTTTCAGAAATTTGATGTTTTAAATTTAAATCTTATTATTTATTAAATTAATTTAATTTTATGTTAAATTTATCTTATATATAATTTATTTACTTTTTAAGTGAAACATTTAAATATAATTATAATTTTTTTATTAATATTTTCATAAAAAATTATATACTTGCAAAAATCAAAACTAATTTTATATTAAAAAAAGTAGATAAATAATGCTAAATAATACGAACATTTTGTTTTTATGAGAAGAAATAACCAATTTGTGATATTAATTATTTGAGGCTTTCTTTTATGAGAAGAAATGACTATTTAGCATTTTATGCAATAATTAATTGAACTTAAAATGAAATCTCCTAGCTACATATTTCCTATAAACTCAATCTCCTAAAACATTAAAATAACTAAATGAGATAGATAGATAGATAACTCAAGAAACTAATTATAGTAAATTCCTAAAAATTGAAAACAAAAAGTAATAGCATATTTAGAATGGACAATTCCTACTTCAAATATAAAGAAAAAGACAACTAGCAAAGAAAATGTCGATGAAAATTAAAGTAAATTACACCATACATCTATGACTTTTGTACAATATTTCATTTTCATTCATGGTTTTAATTAAAATTCAAAATTTTCATTCACAAGTTTTTTAAAATATTTCAAATTCATCAATTTCAACAATTAATCATTAAATTTTGACTAAATTTGTCATCTCAAAATATTGTGTATGTGTATAACCATGTAAACATGCATGTGATGAAAAGGTGAGAGTTTTTTTAACTTTTTAAGTTGAAATTCTTGTTATATGCACATCCATGTGACATTAAAAAAGATTTGTTCTGTTAATTCTTTAATAATGATTGTTGTAATAGATGAATTTAAAATATTTTAAAAGGTGTAAATGAAAAAATTGAGTTTCATAAGATTGTAAATGAAAGTAAAATAATATTGCACAAAGCTTATCGATGCCTGATGCATTTTAATAGTGACAACTATCTTAAAAGTCCACAATTGGGATTTTAATTATCACTACTTAAATAGGGAGAAGTTGATTCACATTAATTTTACCCAAAGTAATACAAAGTCTATCTTTTAAATATTGTAGCACTTGAAAACTTTTTAGTCACCAACTTATCAGGAAAATAAATTTTGTCAACGACATTAACACTATGTAGTCAAATTATTTTACTTTCTAAGTGTTTGTTTCCAAAGATAAAAAATTATAAAAAAGGTTTTATTTAAGAAAAAAAGTATTTTCTCTCCCAATTTAAATGGATTAAGTTCCCATTTTATTTCTTTCAGCTCTCTTATCTATTCTTCCATTCTCTATATTCCTCCTACAAAGTATAGTTGAAAGTGTAAAACCACAAATAAATAGGATTACCTGTATTTTAGCCGAAATGATAAAAGGAGTCAATTGTGGACAATCATCCACACACAACTCTTGTAAAGATGGCAGCGTGAGTACAATGTCATTTCCATCCCTTCCTTTTAATTCAGGCAAACCTTCCAATGTAACCTTATTCAGCTGTGGAAGACCTTCAGCCATTGAGATTGGAAAAGTATATTCCAATCGAGAGCAATCCCGAATCCTAAGTGTTGACAATTTCTCCAAAATTTGACCATGCGACAATGAGGAAAGAGATGTCAAGTTATTGCAGCCACTTACACGTACTTCCCTTAGACTTTGGAGATTAATGTTTGACACTTCTGTTTTGGGAATTATTTCTTCCAATTCCAAGCATTTGGATATGTCCAGCACTTCCAGTTGCCCAAGACTTTCAGCAACAGACGTTGGGAAGAGATATCTCAATTTATTGCACTTGTCTATTCTTACAACCTTCAAACTTTGTAAGCTTACATGATGACTGGTTCCTTCTTGTATGCTCCTCACTTCAGCAATCTGAAATAGCACTTGCATCTCATCATAAATTCCATAAACAGTGATTAAAATTTGACAAACTATATCATTTCCGAATCATGTGTATGTATGTCCATGTGAACTATCATGTGGTAAGATGGTGTTCGACTTTTTAAGTTAAAATTCATGTCATATGCACATCCATTAAATTTTTAACAATGATTGGAATAATAGATGAATTTAAAATATTTTAAAAGGTTTCATTCTATTAAATTTTTAACAAGATTGGAATAATAGATGAACTTAAAACATTTTAAAAAGTCGTACACGAAAAAAAATTGAGTTTTATAATATCGCAGATGAAAGTAAAATAATATTGCACAAAACTTATAAAGGAAAGTAAAATAAAACAAGCTATCTTAAAATTCCACAACTGATCTTTAAATGATCATTGTTTAAGTAGTGAAGAAGTAGATTTACGTTAGTTTTACGCAAAGTGATATAATGTCTATCTTTTAAATATTGTAGCTCTTAGACTTGAACTTTTCGAACACCAATTTATCAATAAAAAAAAATTCTGTCACAATATTAACAATATGTATAATGGTTGGAAGAAAAATAAAGGGAGGGAAAAAGGGTGAGGAAAGCAAAAATAAATGATAGAAAAGAAAATTAATTTTCTTTTTTAATTGTTTGGTACCAAGGATAAACAAAAAAAAAAAAAGAAAAAGGATTAGAAGAAAAATTATTTAAAAAAAGGTTTTATTAACTATAAAAGAATGTTTTTCTCCCAATTGAAAAGGATTAAATTTTGATCCATTTTTTTTTTGTTTCCACTCTCTATTCTTCCACTCTTTTCCACTCCGTCCAACCAAGCATA